AACCCTAACCCTATCGCAGCCTCTCTGCTCCTATGATGCTGCTTGGCCTGCTGTGTTCATCCAGCCCTGCACCTTGTTGTCTCGGATTCACCAGCATCTGCAGTTCCTACTATCTCTGGTTGGAAATGTACTGTTTGACATTCTTTACTACACTGAGTTGAAAAATCTGGCAAATCTTTTTAAGGTCCATTTTATTTTTGTAGGTGAAACGCACTTTATTTATAACTGGGTTATCAAAATATGCTGAACCAGAGAAAATAAAACTACATTTTCAGTAAGTACAATTTCAATAGTCTTACAGTTGATACTGTGAATAGTGTTCTTTGCACTGGGCCAGCAAAGGAGGGCTACAGGAACAGTTGTTGCCCATTGTCATTAAGCTGTTTGTCTTTCTGGTGCCATTATATATCTGAAACATTTGTTTTCTAAGATCATGTTTTGATATGACTTTTCCCCAAGTTGGAAAGTTCAAATCTCAGGATAAACCTGTTGCTTTTTGGACAACTAATTTCTAAATGTGTTCTTGTATTTCAGTAATCTCAATTCAGGTGTGACCAGAACATTAAGCAATTTAAGTATGACGTTGTCTTGCTTTTGTGCACATAGGTTAGCAATCTGATTGCTTGAGTGAAATACTTGGACATATTGAAAGCCAAGCCTGCCTTGATTTGATTTGACCAGCTTTCCACGTCTTTTATATGGTTCTTGATACATGCCAGCATTATATTTCATCTACATTGGTTCACTTGTATACATTTTGGTCAACTTACAGTAATTGCAATTTGATGTGATCTGCAAGATGAACCAATTTGCATTAAACTTCTGAATGCTGTCCATAGTATGAATTTTAAAAAGTACGACCAATTCCTGGCCTGCCTTGTTAGGATTGCCCAGTTTTCTTACTTTGTTTCATTCTTGCCCAAATGAATAAAATCATACATAATTTCATCTGTCAAGTGCCTAATGACCTCTTGTATAATGTGACAATAAAACTAAATCTAAAAATAAAATATAGTGAAGTGTTTTTCCATGTGCAAAAAGCAAAGTGTCACCTTGCTCTGGCACCGCTTTGAAATACTAAATATAATGCAAGATTTTACTACAATAGAGTTCCTCTTTCCTTCCATTTCTTATTACACTCTGTTACTCCTCCGTTTTCTGCTTGACATTGGCTGCAGTCTCTGCAAAAGGCTCCAGGGTCTTGGTTACACGCCTGCCTCTGCCGTCCCTGCCACCTTGGGCCAGGTCTCATACCACCTTCCCCTTGGATGCTCCTTCTGACACTGGCTCCAGTCGTTGGTGGTTCGGGTCTTGACTCCGCGGTTCTCCACCACCAAGGCTTCTGCAACCCCGGAGCCAGAGCCGGCCATGGATCTAGGGCTGCACAGGGCCTGGTCCTAAATGAGTCCCCCGCACGGATCAGAAAACAGCAGAAAGACAGCAAAGCTGCCATGGCACCAAATGATGAAGATGAGAGATGGTGTGGATGTGGCCACCTCCGCTGTCTGGTACCTGTGAGCAGCAAAGCACTGAGATCAGGAGCCAAACGCTGCCAACCCAACCGCTGCTGCTATCTTAAAGTTTATTACAACCCCAACCACTATAACCTACACTTTCAAGTGTTCTGTCGTTTGCAAACTTTGAAAATGTACCGTATGTCCCCGAGTCATGGTTATTTAAAAACCAGCAGTTATCCTAGTTGTGAGCCTGGGAATATCACTGCTTTTCTCCAGTTGTTGAAGCAACTATTCGCTACAGTTCTGTTTTCTATTCCTTAACCAACTTGTTAATTCTGTGGTACTTAATCATGTTATTTAAGCAGACTCTTTCTAAACGCAGCAAGTTCAGGCCAACCTCCCAACTTGGGGCTAAATAGTACAAGGTAACATTCCCACCACACTAGTTGTGGATATAGACCATCTCTACCAAAAGAGAATCTAACCATTTCCCTTGACATTCAATGGCATCATTATCCTGAATCCCCTACCATCATTATCCTGGGGTTACCATTGACCCAGAACTTGTGGCTACAAGAGCAAGTGCTAGGGTGGATATTCTAGTGAGTAACTCCCCTTCTGACTTCGAAAGTTTTTCTACCATCCACAGAGTGCAATACAGATGTGTGATGGAATCTTTCATTGGCGTTACCCTTATATCCATGGAGGATTAAAGTAGCTCAGATGGTTTGTATATCTTAATCAATAGTTTAGAGTATTTGCAGGGCTAGAATCTAATCATGGGTTCAATTCCCACACCAGCAAAGGCTACCATGAAGAACTACCCTTCTCAACCTCCTTTCATCTGAGGTGTGGTCACCCTCTGGTTAAACCACCACTAGTTGTGTGTCTCTAATGAGAGCGCAGCATTATGGCCTGGTAAATATATGGCAACTTTATCTTTATCTTGTATAGAATATTTGTATTATACTTGGAAGTGATTGCAGGTCTAGAATTTAATGTAGACTATGAACTGACTTATTGTGTAAATCTATGTTTAAAGTTAATTTTTCAGTATGGTGAAACTTGAGTAGGTTTGGATATTTAAGTGTCATATTGTGTTATACCAGAAGCAGTGATATTTGTCTTTGATTTAACTGTACTTTGCAGAGAAGCTTACCCAGACTGCACTGTTTACGAAGCGCGGCTCTGCTATAACGTGGCGAAACTGATGCGTCTTGATGCGAACAGGTAAGAAATATTACTTTTGCTTCTGTAAGGATGATATTTAATACCCTGCTTCATTTTTATGACAACCCAGCAGAGCTTTTTGTTTTTCCTGGTGCTAGCATACACCCATATAAGTCTTCTTTTTCATAGCACAAGAGGCATTTGTGGCTGTGTCACCAGTACGATATAGTAGCCTCTATATAAAGACCCTTGTGTGTTAGGCACCTGCCTGCCCCGCACCCCATCAAGACCTTTTTCTGTGTTTACAGAGAAAATTAAATAGATTGAGTAATCAATATCCAACTGTAGTGTGCAATAGAGTTGTGATAACTAAAGTTGCTTGTTTCACCATTTTAAGATGGAAGAGCTATCTATTTGCAGCTTCATCTTTGCTCTTTGTTTGTTTCAATGTTTTTATTGTAAATACTCTATTTCAGGCGAAAAGCTGAGCGTAGTCGAAATTACTATTCTAAAGAAGAAACACCAGTTATGATAAATCCTAAACCCTGCGGTCAGCTGTGCTGTTGTGTCATTAAAGGCTGTGAACAGGTATGAGTGATTTTAATACTAGGTGGTTCTCGTTTGCTATGAACTTCAAATTCATCTAGGTCAGTAGATAATTGGTGTGAAAATCATGTCAGGAAGTCTTGGACAGCACCTGGATCTCTGAGATAGAGTCAGTTTATATTATATGAACTATTTTTCTATCATCATCATAGATGAGCCGATCTTCATGGAGTTAGATTGAAGTGCAGAAAATTTTTTCTTTCCACAAGTCTGCAGCTTTAATGTATGATACTGAAGGCAGCAAGCCAAGTTTTGCCAAAGTGCTTGTGCTTTTTATTCAATTGGGCCTCTCTTGCCAATGGTAATGGAGAATGTGTTTCTTTTTTTCTTATTGCAGGAAAATGCTGTGGAATATTACACTAAATTAGAGCAAAAACTGAAGGAGGACTATGTGAAAGAAAAGGAAAAAGTGTATGAGAAACCACTTGGAATGGCTTTTGTAACCTTTCACAACGAAGTTGCAGCAGCCAGGTGAGTCAAGCTTACAAAAGTGTATTGTAGACAAGCCCTTAGAATGTGCGATATTCTCTGATGTTTGGTCTCTGGTTGTGTTGTTTGGAAAAATTGAAAAGCTGAAAAACAGAGGCAAATGCTAATGATTGATTATGCTTGCTAGTCGGAGACTCTGTCTCAAGGGAAGCCAAGCTTTCTGTAGCTATCTTGTCAAGCCCCCTAAGAATCTTGCATGTTCTAATAAAGTCACCTCTCGTTGTTCTAATCTCAAATAAGCATGGGTCCAACCTGCTCAACCTCTCTTGATAAGACACTTCTTCGATATCTGGTGTCAGCCTAGTGGGCCTTCTACAGACTGCCTCCAATGCTAGTATATCTTGGGAAAGGGGCCCAAAACGGTTCAGTATTCCAGCTGTAGTCTGATTAGTGCCTTGTATTTTAGTAATAGCTCCCTGCTTTTGGCTTTATTGTAGTAGCTCACTGGCCCCAGTCCACAGGGTTGAGATGATTTTGTTACATGCCAGGACTTTGTTCTTTGATCTCTCCCTCAAATTTCTTTTCTCTTTGAAGGAGGCACGGGTGATTAGTACACAAACTGCAAAGTCTCTTAATTACTGTTACTCCAGTTGCTGTACTGTGTACAGTTTTGGTCACTTCATTTAGTGACCATAATTAAATAAGATTTAACATCCTTGTGGATAAGGGAAAGATTGAGCAATAAAATAAGGTCCTGATTTGGGAGAATGCCAATTTTAATAAGATAAGACAGGATATGGCCAAATTGGGCTGGCAGCAGCTACTTGCAGGAAAATTCACATCAGTCCACTGGCACACATTCAAAGGATCTTCGTCAGAGTGTAGGACCAACATCTTGCACCTTTTACAGAAACGTGGGACTAACTAGACCAGAGATCCCTTGATGTCAAGGTCATACAAGATTGGACTCTCTTTTTTTGAGGGGAGTTGGTGGGTGGATGGGTTGCTGATAAGCAGGTCCCAAAGGCTGAACAGCAGGTGTTCTCGAAGAGAATAGAAAGTGCAGGGGGTTACTAAAGAAAAAAGGATTAGGAGAGCAAAGAGTGGGCGTAATAAAGTTCTGGTAGCTATCGTTAAGGAAAATCCAAAGGCATTTTTCAAGTAAATTAGGGACAGGAGAATAACCAGGGAAATGGTTAGGGTGTGTTAGGGACTCAAGTGGCAATCTGTATATACAGCCAGAAGAGATGGCTGAGGTTTTAAATGAATATTTTGCATCTTTATTCACTACAAAGAAGGACAGTGTTGGTATAGAAATCAGGGAAGGAGACTGGAAAAACTTGAGCGAATTAAGATCGAAAGGGAGGTCATTATTAGCAGGTTTAGCAAGCTTGAGAGTTGATGAATATGCAGGTCCTAGAATATGCACAGAGATCCAACGTTAGTGAGGTCATCACTATTCTGCTCAAATGAGTACATTACTGAATGTGAACAATTTTGTTTTTTATGCCATTTGACTTTCATCATGCAGAGCCCAAAGTTGATTTGGGTAGGCTGTTCGCAGGCAAAGGGACATCTGGCAAGTGGACGGCTTTCAAACACAAGATAACGAGAGTTCATGGCCAGCATGTTCCTGTTAGTGTGCAGGCAAGGTTGGTAGGAGTAGGGAACACTGTGACTAAAGATATTGAGGTCCTGGTTAAGAAAAAGGAGGAGGCATATGTCGGGTATAGGCAATTGGGTTCAAGTGAATCCCTGGAGGAGTATAGGGGGTGTAGGAGTACATTTTGAGGGAAATCAGGAGTGCAACAAGGGGCCATGAGATAGCTTTGGCATATAAGGTGAAGGAGAATACAGAGATTCTACAAGTATATTAAAGGCAAAAGGCAAAACTAGGCAGATAATAGGGTTCCTTAAAGATGAACAAGGTCATCTGTGTAGAGCCATAGGAGATGGGTGAGATCCTAAATGAATATTTCTCATCTGTATTTACTGTGGAGAATGATGTGGAAGCAAGGGAACTCTGGGAAATAAATAATGTCTTGAAAAGACTCCACGTTACAAAAGAGGAAGTGTTCGAGAGGGGAAAGATTTCAAAACGAACCCGAGGGGCAATGTTTCCACATGGTGCAAGTGTGGAATGAGCTGCCAGAAAAAGTGGTGGAGGTGGGTACTGTTGCATCCAAAAGACATTTGGACAGATACATGAATAGGAAAAGCTTAGACGTTATTGGCCAAATGCAATCAAATGGGGGCTAGTTTAGGGAAAGAATGGGCTAGTGGTATTATCGCTGAACTTTTAATCTAGAGACCTAGGTAATGATCTGGGGACCTGAGTTCGAATCCCACCATGGCAGCTGGTGGAATTTAAATTCAGTAACTTTGGAATTAAGAGTGTATTAATGACCATGAATCCATTTGTCGATTGTTGGAAAAAACCCATCTGGTTCACTAATACCTCCACCATGTGGTTGACTCATGACTGCCCTCTGGGCAATTAGGGATGGACAATAAATGCTGGCCTAGCCAGTGATGCTCTCATCCCATGAATAATGGAAAAAAGTTTAAGAAGCCTGGTCAGCATTGACAGATTGGCCTGAAGGGTCCACTTCCATGCTGTATGACTCTGACTCTAAGTTCATTACCATTCTACTGAAGCAAGATACTGTGAATTGTCCACGGATTTACCATGCACTTTTCCTCAGGTGTATTGCTTGCTGGTAGAGACTACTTTGCAGGTTTGCAAGAGGACAACTTTATGGGCATTTCAAATAAGTGCAAGAGATTACCCAGCTATAACCATATAGTATACTTGCATAAACACTATTGAGCTCCTCCCACTTGTCCAGTAGGATTACTGTAATGGATTAAATGTAGTTTTATCTGAAGCCATGTGGTAAGCAGAGATCTCAACGTTTAAGGGACAGTTTTGTTAATTTCACACGTTTGTTGCACATGGAAGCGTCCTCCTTAAAATGGTGCATTATCCAACTTAGCATAGAAGATTTACCTTTGCTTTTACATCTGTTATTCCCACAGAATTCTCAGAGACTTCAATGCCTGCAAGTGTCAGGGCTGTATATTCAGCGCAGAACCTCTGCGATCTTCGTATAGCGAGTTCCTCCATACTTCAAATTGGAGTGTGAGTTATGCCCCTGATCCCCACAATATTTATTGGTAAGTTATTACTGTGTGTTGGTCTCAATAGGAGGTATCCGTTTGTGGCTTTGCTACAGAAGTAGCAGGGAATTGACATCTTTGCTGAGTTGAGATGCAAGAGGAGTTGAAGCAGATTAGCCATGATTTCATTGAACTGTGGGGCACTCTTGAGGGTCCGACTATTCTATTCTTGCATCTATTTCTTGTTGAACTGAGAATTGTAAATTTACATTCACCAAGTAGTCAGTCATATGCATTCAGAGAATTGGCAACACATTTATTTCTTAGACCTAATTTGAATTGAGAAAGTTGTTTGGAGGCACATTCAACTGTTGTGACCCATGAAACGGTTGCATGAGGTAGAGGATTTCAGTTTTGATCCAGCAACAGTGAAGTGATGTTGTGCAACCTGCAGGTGAAATTGATCATCTTGGCTACAGAACATCTCTGCAGTTGATCTTCAGGGTGGTGTCCTAGGTCCAACCATATTCAGCTGCTTCATCAATGACCTTCCTTTACCATGAGGTCAGTAATGGGGATGTTTTAGCAATGATTGGCGCTGAACATTGCGCATTCGCAACTCATTGAAACAGAGCAGTCCATGTTCAAATCCAATGAGATCTGGACTACGTCCATGTATGGGCTGACAAGTGGCAAGTAACAGTCACACTACACAAATGCCAGATAATAACCATCTTCAATAAGAGACATTCGGTGGCATTGCCATCACCGAATTCCCCCACTGTCAACATACTGGGTGTTATCATCGACCAGAAGCTCGACTGGTCTTGCCAGCACACAGGATATAGATAGGCTGGAGTCTTGGTCAGTGAAATGGCAGATAGAATTTAATCCATACAAATGTGAGTTGATGCATTTTGGAAGGTCTAATGCAGGAGGGAAGTATACAGTAAATTACAGAACCCTTAAAAGCAATGACATACAGGTCCACAGTTGAGGTCTGTGGCATGTTTGCCTTCATTGGTCAGGGCACAGTGTATAAAAAAAGTTGGCAAGTAATGTTGCAGCTGTACAAAATTGTTTTTAAGATCACATTTGGAATACTGAATACAGTTCTGGTTTCCACACTGCCAGAGAGTACTGAAAAGGTTTACCACTATGTTGCCTGGTTTGGAGGGTGTTAGTTATTAGAAGTGATTGGAAAAACTGTTTTCACTTGAACATTGGAGGCTGAGGGCAGCCTGATAGAAGTTTACGAAACTGAGAGGCATGGATAGTTGGAGTCATTCCCCCTGGATCGAAATGTCAATTACTAGGGGATATTGGCTTAAGATAAAAAGGCTAAGTTTAAAGTAGATATGAGGCAAGTTTTGGAATGCACTGACAAAGGAGGTAGTAGAAACAGATACAATAACATCTTGACAGACACAAATAGGCAGCAAATAGAGGGATGTGGACTGCGTAAGAGGCAAAAAGTTTAGAAAGGCATCATGTCAACATAGGCTTGATGGACCAAAGGGTCTGTCACTTTGCTGTCCTATTTTTGTTCTATAGGAGTACGGTGACACCAAAAACAGTGTAGAGGCTAGGAATGCTGCAGCAAATCAGTCAACTCCTGACTCCGTAAAGCCTGTCCACCACTTACAAAGCAAGTCTGCAGTGTGTTGGAATACTCGCCACTTGCCTGGGTGAGCGCAGATCCAACAAAATTCAGTAAGCTTAACAATCATCCAGGCACCATATCCTCAAGCATCTACTCTCCCCACCACCAAAGCTCACTAATAGTAGTGTGTATGGTCTACAAGATACACTGCAAACATTTGCCAAAGATCCTTGGGCAGCACCTTCCACACCCATGACTACTTCCATTGAGCAGGACAAGGGCAGCAAATAGCTGTGAACACCACTACCTGCAAGTTGCCCTCCAAACCACTGACCATCCTGGCTTGGAGATTATATTGCCATCCCTTTAGAGTACTCCAAATTCTGAAATTCACTCCTGATGATGGATCAACCTACAGCATGTGGCCCGCAGCAGTTCGAGAAGGCAGCTCACCACCACCACCTCGAGGGGATGGCGATCTGTCCCATGTCTCTCCCATGAGAGACTAGAATGGAATTTCAAAAATTAGAGCTGATAATGTAACCATAACATTTCTGCACCCCATGATACAGATTTAAAAGCTGAAAGAAGTTGAAACCACTTGCTTTCCTAATGCATCTCCAAATACTGGAATGATTTAGAAACCTAGAAGTCAGGAGCAGGAGTAGGCCAAGAGTATTCCTTAGAACCTACTCTGCCATTCAAAGTGATTGTGGCTGATTATCCAACTCAGTACTCTGTTCCTGCTTTCTCCCTATACTCTTTGACCCCTTTAGCTCTAAGAACTATATCTAACTCCATGAAAACAATCCATATTTTGGCCTCAACCACTTTGGGGCAGCGAATTCCGCAGTCTCACCACTCTGGATGAAGAAATTTCTCTTCATCTCAGTCCTAAATGGCCTATCCCATATTCTTAAACAGGGACCTCTGTTTCTGGACTCCCTGCACATTGGAAACATCCCTTTTTGTGTTTACCATGTCTAGTCCCATTAGAATTTCATATGTTTGTGTGAGATCCCCCTCATCTTCTAAACTCCAGTGATTCTAGACCTAACTGATCCAGTCCTCCTGTCCTAAGGATTAGTCTGGTTTTGAAATGTAAATTTAAGCAAGGATTGCTAAATATTGTCTTGATCCAAATATTCAGATTCTGCTTCCACTATTTTTTGAGCAAAATTTGCAAGGACTCATGGCTGTCTAAGAAAACAGTTTCTTATCTCTCTCAAATGGGCAAACTCCTTTTAAACAGTGACACCTAGTTCTAGATTCTGTCACAGAAAGCTCTTTCCACATCCAGGTATTGCTCTAGTAAATCTTCTTTGAACTACTTCCAGTGCATTTACATCCATCCTTTAAAAAAAGGAGATCACATTCTACAGCAGGTAATGTTTTGTCACAAGATTTATTGAATTCAATCTCATGGTTTATTTTGGTAGGATTTAATCGTGCGACCTCTGCATTGTTGGCCTAGCAGAGTGGCTACTCCACCCAGTCCTCAACAATGTTGGTAAATCTCTGCTGCTCCTTCCTTCAGCAGCTTGAGAGTTTAAATGGGGCGAAAAAAGTCCATTAGCCTTGCTTCACCTGAGTATTTCACTTGGTAACACTATCCTGTAGGGCACAATGGCTCAGTGGTTAGCACTGCTGCCTCTCAGCACCAGGGACATGGGTTCGATTCCGCCCTTGGACAAATCTGGGTGGATGCTGTGGTTGGTTTGCTCGCTGAGCTGGTTCGTTTGCAGATGTTTCATTACCCTGCTGGGTAACATCATCAGTGCAACCTCCAATGAAGTGCTGTTGTGTTTTCCTGCCTGGTATTTAAACTCTGGGGTCCATTGGATTTGATTGCCTCATTTCTGGTTTTCCTTTGCAGTGGTGTGTATATATAGGGTCTAGTTCGATGTGTTTGTTGATGGCCTTGGTGGAGAACAAGGCCTTAGGAATTCCTGTGTTTGTCTCTGTTTGGCCTGTTCTAGGATCCTGGTGTTGCCCCAATCAAACTGGTGGTTCTCCTTATCTGTGTGAATGGAGATGAGTTAGTACTGGTCATGTCTTTTTGCTCGTTCGTGTTCATGTACTCTTGTGGCCAATTTTCTTCCTGTCTGTCCAGTGTAATGTTTGTTGCAGTCCTTGCATGGAATTTTGTACGTTATATTGGTTCTGCCCCATAGTGGGTAAGGGGTCTTTGGTTCGAGTTAGCAGTTGGCGTAGTGTTGACGTGGGTTTGTGTGCACACTGGTCGTAGGAGTCTTATGTCAGTTTGGATACATTCTTGATGTATGGTAGCGGGATGAGTGTGTTAGGGCATGCAGCATCTCCCTGTTAATGTGATAGGCATCGTTGCATCCAGTTGTTCAGGTATCTGTTGTCCTTAAATACTTCATGGAAGTACTTTTCTTTTTGGCAGAGCTTCTGGTTGCTATGGTGGTGTTGCTCGTTTAAATAGTGTTTTCATGCAACTTCATTTGTGCGTGTTAGGGTGGTTACTGTTGAAATTCAGTCCTTGGTAGGTGTGTGGCTTTTCTGTGCATCTTCGTCAGAAATTCCCTGTTGGTCCTGCGTTCTACCATGATGTCCAGGAATGGGAGCTGTTCCGTTTGTTCCTCTTCCCCGGTGAATTTGATGCTGGTGAGAGTGTTGTTTATTAGTTGGTGTGTCTCCTTTAATTTCGTCCGTTTGATAACGAAAGTGTCATCCATGTATCGGATCCATAGTTTGGGTTGGATTTGCGGAAGGGCCATGATTTCAAGTCTCTGCGTTACCACTCCTGCTATCTCTGGACTAATAGTGGAGGCTGTACTGATGATGTTACCCAGCAGGGTAATGAAACATCTGCAAATTAACAAACCAGCTCGGCGAGTGAACCAACCACATCATCCACAACCTGAGCTACAAATCTACTCCAGACCCTTAGAAATCTGTGTGGAGCTTGCACATTCCCCCCGTGCCTGCATGGCTCTTCTCTGGGTGCTCTGGTTTCCTCCCACGGTCCAAAGATGTGCAGGTTAGGTGGACTGGCCATGCTAAATTGCCCATATGTCCAGGGATATGCAGGCAAGGTGGATTAGCCATGGGGAAATGCAGGGTCAGAGAAATAGGGTAAAGGGGTGGGTCTGAGTAGGATGCTCTTCAGAGGGTTGTGTGGACTTGATAAGCCGAATGGCCTGCTTCCACGCTACAGGGATTCTATGAAGATCTGTTGAGAGCTAGATGACTAATCTTGAGGTACAATGACAGTAAGTAGAATCTTTTTATTTACACAGGGAGCACTTGTCATTGAGGGGGATTTCATGGTGGCTGCGTTGTTTCGTCATCAACTGTGTCCTTTTTATTCTACTCTTCTTTTTGACCACTCCTGCTATTATCATTACGACAATGGACAAGTTCAATGTTACAAAGCCTGTTGAATATTTAAACGTAAGTTTTCATACATCAACGTTTTTTGAAAAAGAATTGCTTAATTTCTTCTATTCCCCACCCCAACTCTGTTGTGTTACAACGTGTATGTTCATTCACACAAGCAAACTCATGCACATATCCACGTGTATCCATATATACACGTATACTCACTTTCTTCTGGAAAAAGCACAAAACCTAGAGAGAGAGTTACATAGCAATTTAAGGAGAAGCCTGCCTTCAAGGTCAGGAAAAATTTACCCAATCAAGTAAGTTTTAAAGAGACCAAATGGTCAATGACACTAACCCCTCATTTCCAGTGATACATCTTTGTCACTTGCAGGAAATCTTTCAGTTGCTTTTTGAATGCTTGCACTGAAACTACACTCGTTACGTAGGGGCAACAGGTCCCATAGCTCAGCAGACTGCAAAAAGAATTTCCTCTTGGCTTCTTACCTAATTATATACCACCATAACTTTGATAATTTGAACTAAGGAGGATATCTACATGGGTAGGCCTTAATAGAGTCATACAACACAGAAACGGACCCTTTGGTCTAACTTGTCCATGCTGATCAAGTTCCTCAAACTAAACTAGTCTCACTTGCCTGCGCTTGACCCATATTCCTCCTAAACCTTTCCTATTCATGTCCAAATGTCTTAAATGTTGTAACTGTACCTGCATCTACCACTTCCTCTGGCACTTCATTCTACAGACAAACCACCCTGTCAGGTTCCTTTTAAATCATTCCCCCTCACCTATTCAAAAAAAAGCCCCCTATTTTTGAATTCTTCCACCCTAGGGAAATGACCTTTGCTATTCACCTTATTTATACCCCTCATGATTTTATAAACCTCTATAAGGTCACCCCTCAATCTCCTACACTCCAGTGAGAAGTCCCAGCCTCTCCTTTATAACTCAAACCCTCCAGTCCCAGCAACATCCTAGTAAAGTTATTCTGAACCCTCTCCAATTTAATAATATCCTCTCCAAAGCAGGGTGACCACAACTGTACATAGTATTCCAAAAGTGGCCTCACCAACATCTTGTACAACCTCAACATGATGTCCCAGCTCCTATTCTCAATGGTCTGAGCAATGAAGGCAAGCATGCCAAACACTGCCTTAACCACCTTATCTACCTGTGGTGCAACTTCCATAGAACTATATACCTGAACCCCTAAGTCTCTCTCTTCAGCAATACTCCCCAGGGCCCTATAATTAACTGTACAAGTCCTGCCCATGTTTGTTGTACCAAAATGCAATACCTTGTATTTATCCAAATTAAACTCAATCTGTCACTCCTCAGCCCATTGGCCCAATTGATCAAGATCTGTGTAATCTTAGATAACCTTCACTGTCGACTGTGTGTTGGTCTCATCTACTAACCATGCCTATTAAATTTTCTTCCAAATTGTTTACATAAATGGCGTACAAGTGGACTTAAGTCTGGCATTATTTTAAATCCCTCAGCTATCTCTTCAGCCTGCACTTCCTGAGCAAAAAAAAAAATGCCCTAACTGTCTAGGCTTGTCAGAACACTCGGCACACTTTTTTAACTCCATCCTTCCATTGAATGGCTACAGGGGATCACTGAAGCTCTCAACCTTTTTCACAGCATTGATATTCAACTACACAAAGAGCCAATACTATCCAGCAAAATGTACTTGACTGTTGCTGAAGGAAGACCTGTTTTATCAAAGATTTTTGTCTTTGCCTCATTAGGACTATTTGCATGACTACTAATAATGGGAAAAGCCAGCACTTGTGCTGTATGAGAGGAGAATGCTGATTTGGTTGCCAAGTTGACTCTTGATTGAGGTCTTGCCATAGAGAATGCAGCAGTTAATGATTGACAGCTAACTGCATGGCTTTATTTAAATTTTAAATCAGGCAAGTTGACTGTGATTGGTCATTAAGACATGAGCCAGCAAATAGTTGTCACCTATTTTGAGTTGAGTTGGGTGCAGTGAATGTGAGTGCTCTGTGTAAAAGAACATAGCTTTGGGTATTAATACAGTACACAAGTGTGACACACTCCGAGCCCAACTGACTATCCTAAAATTGAATCAGAGA